ATGAGACCAAATGAAGATATGAATTTTAGGAAGGAATGAAGGGCAACCAAAATGATAAATATCTGGTAAATATAAAAGACTGGTTTTTCCATCTTAATTTCCTTCAAACACATAGGACTATTCAAAACAAAAATTGTAACACTGCCTTGTATTTATAACATAGGTACATGTCAGATGTCATATAAAGGAAATGTTCTATGTCAGATCTATATTCCACTGGGGGGTGATCAGTGGACCTATATGGTTGCAAGGGTTCTATATTTATGTGAAGTAGGACAATATTTAATTAGGCTGTGAAAGTTAAGACAGTATATCGTGATTATTAGAGAGCCACAGAGGTGGGGGATGCAATGAAATATAGCAAAACTACCAACATGGAAATTAAAATGGAATTCTAAAAAATGTTCAAATAATAATTTTTAAGAGGCAGCTGGTTTCCCCCAGAGTGCATGATCCAAAAGAGAGAGTGAGAAGGAAGCCACAATGAGTTTTAAGATTCAGTTTCAGAAGTCATGATATCACTTTTGCCATATTCTACTCATTAGATACAAGTCACTAAGTCCAGCCACAGAGGAATTAGGCTTCACCCTTTGAGGGGAGGAGTATACTCCTGGACATATATTAAAATCATCTCAACTCCCCAGATGCAATTGCCTTTAATTTTCTTCTGAGTCTTTCCAGAAATTATCTACACATACAAAAGCTGATAGTCCTTTCTCCTTAACATAGCTAAAATCTCACTATCTGTATACATTATTCTACACCTTGCTCTTTCTGTTTAATACTATATCTTAAGAATCCTCCTAAGTCAGCACATAGAGATCTATCCCATCCATTAAATAGATTCAAAGCATCCAATCGTAGGATGTCTACAGTACTTCATCAGCCCCTGCTGATGGTCATATAGGTTGTTTACTATAACAAAATAATGCTGCAAGGAAGATTCTAGTATGTATATTTTTGCCAGCTTAGGCAAAAAATAAAGTTCTTGGAGTAGAATTTCTGGAAGAGAGGATATACACATTTGCAATCCTGATTATGTCAATTCACCTTCCAAAAAAGATGACTGGTTGATACATTCGTCTGTGTTACTGAGAGCCCATCTCCCTACCCTCGGTAATGCAAGGTTTTAATGTAGCTTTAAAATGTTGCCCACCTGATAGGTCCAACAAGGTATTTCATTGTGGAGTTGATTTGCTGTTTTAAAATCAGCATTAAGTTTATCAGCCATTTTCATTTCTTTTCTATGAAATATCCTATACCTTATTAATGTGTGAAACAAAGGAAGCGTGTCTTTATCTATCATATATGCTGCAAATGTTTTCCCTCACTTTGTCATTTGCCTTGTGCCTTTTACTCCCCATACAAAATGTTTAAGTTTTGAACTAGTCAAGTTTAAAGTGAATTTCTTACAAGATCAAAAGTATCAACATTTCGTTTTATGATTTCTGGGGGTTTTTTTCCCCCAAAGTTAGAAAGATCTCCACTTCGTGTTCATTTTAAAAGTCATTCATGCCCTTGGGGTGCCTGGGTGGCTCAGTCGGTTAAGCGTCTGCCTTCAGCTCAGGTCCTGATCTCAGGGTCCTGATCTCAGGGTCCTGGGATCAAGCCCCGCAGGGAACCTGCTTCTCCCTCTCCCTCTGCCTGGGCTCCCCCTGCTTGTGCTCTCTCTCCCTCCCTGTCAAATAAAGTAAATATCTTTAAAAGTCATTCATGCCTTCTACTAGCACTTTTATGGTTTCAACATTTACCTTCAGGTAATTGTACCATCTAGAATATAGATTAAAAAGTAAGGACAATATCTAGCTTTATTTTTTTTATCCAAAGGACTAACTGGTTTTCCCAGCATCACTTATTAAAGAATCCATTTCTCTCCAGTGATCTGAAATGCCATTTTCTTAGATGTGCTATGTTCCCTCTGTTTTGCAGACTGCTTATGAACTCTGCTTTGTTTCATCGACCAACAACTCCTCTCTGAGGAAGGGCAGCTTTGAAGCACAGAGAGGAGAAAGGTCTGGATCTTTGGAGCTCGTAGCCAGGGAAGCAGCACAGCTGTGGGGCGCAAGGGGTGCTGTCTGAGCAGCTTGGGAGGGAGAGCGGGAGGAGGGTGAGGATTTGGGGAGTACTGAGCACGCAGTAAAGAGATCGATGTCTAAATGACATAAATTACATAATGATATTTTTAAAAGCAATTGCACTGCTTCCCAAAGCAACTGAAATCATGAGCAATTGTCCAGATCCTCAGAGGACCTGCTTTTATGAACAAAAGATGAGTTTGCTAATTAGCCAAACATTTCTAAAGTTCTTGCAATCATTTTGACCTCTGATAGGTATCTATTTTCTGCTACTGTCTCCCATCTGACTCTTGAATTCATACTGGTTTTTATCAGAATCTGAATCCGTGCATATTCCAAACAAGGGGGGCCCCAAAATAATAAGATGATCCTGCCCCTTTCTGAAGATTAATGGCATTCTTACTATGAGCAGGCACCAGCCGTGTTGAAGCTCGCCCTGTTGTCCTCACTGCAGCACCACGAGGAGGCCACCATTACCCATGCTTTACGGAGAAAATAATTCTTGCCCAAAGTCACACTGTAGTGAGTGGCAAAGCTAGAAGTCAGCGCAGTGCCATCTGATGCAGAAGGGTGGCCTTGCCGGGAGGCCACATGACCTTTCCCGTGTGATCTATAGCGTAGAGGGGCATGTGACACAGAGAGGTTTTTAAAATTGGGGTTCCCAGGGAAGAGGAAATGGAAAGAAGACTAGGAAAGCAACAACCAGCCCCATCTTCATTCAGAACTAGCAAGAGGACGTGGCCTCGTTTACGCCGGTAGAGAATGACTTAGGAAACCCTGAGCTGTCAGTCCTTTTCCCTAAGTGGTGTGAGTTGCTGCCCCACTGGCCTGCCCTCAGCCCCAGACTCCTCCTGCCGTGTCTCAGGGGAATGCCATTCTCTCTGGGAGCCTCTCAGCAGAGATCTGATTTGACCTCCTTGGCTTCCTGGCCACCCGAACCTTGCAGACGGCCCTGTCCGTGAATTGGGGCGTTATTTTACCTGGACATGGAATCAGCAGGTGCAAAGAGAAAATCCTATCAGCCTGTAACCCTGTGGCCTCCAACTGGAAATTCCTGTAGGTTCCTTCTGCCGTTCTTCCTTGCTGCTACATTTCCACTCACGGCCCCTCCTGAGGTTTACACCCTAGTTCCACTGACCTAGGCCGGCTTGGGCGGGGTTCACCAGATTAAACCCGATTAAGAGTGTCAGGTGACAGAGAAGGGCCCAAAGTACCCCAGAAACAATCCTGGTTTCATGTTCCAATCCTTCCTTCTCCCAAGTATTCATACAGGGTGACCACATACAGTTGTGCAGGTTGTATACTGCACAACATTACTGAGCATATAAATCACAATGGCCCCTGATTCGTACTCTCCGTGTTTCCTCAACTACAAGGACGCTGGCATCAATTTACAGCTCATCCTCAAAAGCTTGTACACATACACCCAATCCTCTCAGATCCTCCCAACAAAACTGAAGCAAAGGAACTCAAAAGGAAAGGGCAATATTCTGCCTTCGATAACTGGGAAGATGAACGCCTTCTCCCACCCTCCACTCTCCCCCACCACCCCAGTATTCATACGTAGATCCATAAAACCTTTGAGAGATTCTGCCAAGACATGCATACTGCGGGCTGTTTCTAGAAGAGTGACCACATGTCTGATTGGCCCAGGACAGTCACAGTTTATGACTATTGTATTGTGGTCCCAACAGTCCAGCACCTGTCCCAGATAAACGTGTCCTGGTTTGGATAGTAAATTATAGTCACCCTACTGAAAAGCCACAAATGGGCCAGTCCAGAGAGACTGGGGAAGGGCGGCATCAGCTTATTGACCAATAACACAAACACAAAGAGTCATTTGATGGAGCACCCACTATGTATATATATACACCCATGTCGACATGCCGGTGTTACATGCATGTATGTATGTATATGGTTTTTATATACGAATGCATACATGTAACACGTGTGTATATCCATACACATATGTAGCTACTATCTATTGAGTGTTGGACACCCCTCAACCTGCTGGCCTTTGTACTAAGAGCCCTATGGGCTCTGGATCTATCTGCATATACACTTTAAAACCAAGATTTTATGGGGCGCCTGGGTGGCTCAGTTGGTTAAGCGACTGCCTTCGGCTCAGGTCATGACCCTGGAGTCCCGGGATCGAGTCCCACATTGGGCTCCCTGCTCAGCAGGGAGTCTGCTTCTCCCTCTGACACGACCCCCCCATGCTCTCTCTCTATCTCATTGTCTCTCTCAAATAAATAAATAAAATCTTTAAAAAAAGAAAAGATTTTATTCTGACACTTCCAATTCCAATCCAGTGTAATAAGGGTCATGCTAGCCTTTCCCCTTTCCTTACCTGTAGCTTTTTTCTCCAGCAGAGAGAAATCTGGCTCATTACCTACATCATATCTGCTTGTCTGTTCAACGCTCAGGTACACATACATAGTTTCAGAACCTCTAGCTCTATCCTTATGAGAAACAAATTTACTAACTACAGTACAGTGATTATGTGCGGTGTTTTGTCTTAACCTGGGCATTCAGTCAAAACACTGTTTTCCAAAGAAACTTAGGCTAGTTCTGTATTCTCTCCTGTGGGCTAAGTTACTCTTTTGTAATACATTCAGGTGTTTTATCTTTTGTATTCCATTTGGGGTTCTCCCCATATCCTGGTTAATCTCTTTAAATTACATATGTAAAATTCATCCTTTGTGGTATAGAATTCTGTGCGTTTGCCCTTGTAATTGGACAAATAGAATCACATGTTCACTCCCCCAAGGCATGATATGAGACAGTTCCATCGCCCCCAAATTCCCTGCTGCAGCTCCATTGTAGTCAACCCCTTCGCCAGCCCCTACCCGGGTAAGTAACCCTGATCTGTTTTCTGTCCCTTTGATTTTGTCTCTTCCATGAACGGAATTATACCATACGTACCCTTTTGAGCCTGTCTTCTTTCACCAAGCAAAATGCATTTAGTTTATCCATGCTGTTGTGTAAATCAGTGGTTTCTTCCTTGCTGTCCCTGGGTAGCACTCTGCTGTATGCACGTATGACAGGTTGTCACTCCCTGTGAATGACATGTAGCTGTTTCTAGTTTAGGGTGAGTATGAATACACAAGCTATAAACATTCTCACACGGACTTTTTGAAAACAAATTTTTATTTCACCGGGTAGATACGTAGGAGTGGATTGCAGGGCTGCATGGTAAGAACTTCTTAACTTCTCTAACTTTGTAAGAAACCGACAGACTGTCTGCTAAAGTGCATAGTACCGTTTTGCATTCCCACCAGCAGTTCGTGCCGGGTCAGTTGTCCTGGGCTCTTCAGCACACTTATTGTCAGTATCCTTTATTTTTGCCATTCTAATGGGTGTGGAGCAGTATCTCATTGTAAATTTAATTTGCATTTCCTTAATGACTAATGACTTTGAGTGTGTTTTCATGAGCTTATTGGCCATCTGTAGCTCTTCTTTGGTGAAGTGTCTGTTCGAATCTACTGATTTTTTTTTTTAATTATTCTTTTCTTATTGTTAGTTTTTGAGAGTTCTTTGTATATTCTACACAGATCCTCTGTCAGAGATGTGATTTGCAGATATTTTCTCCCAGTCTGTGGCTTGTCTTTTCATTCTCTTAACAATGTCTTTTGGAGAGTCAATGTCTTTAATTTTAACAAAATCCAGTTTATCATTTTTTTAAAGTAGTACTCTTTGCCTAACCTAAGCTTACAAAGATTTCTTCCCTGTTTTCCCGTAGAAATTTTATAGTTTTACATTTTACCTTTTGGTCTATACTATATTTTTGGTTAATTTTTGTATAAGGTGTGAGTTATGGGTCAAGGTCCTTTTTTTATATTTATCTATCTATCTATTTATTTATTTTGGTAGAGGGACATGCAATTGTTCCAAAACCATTTGTTGAAGAGATTGTCCTCTCTCCATCGAATTGCCTTTGGACTTTTATCAAAAATCAGTTGGCTGCATTGGTATTTCTGGACTTTCAGTTCTGTCTCATTGATCTTTGTGGCTCTCATCCCACCAATACCACATTATCTTAGTTTCTGCACCTTTATCATGGTTCTTGAAATCATATTAACAACAGTCCTCCCGGGGCGCCTGGGTGGCTCAGTCGTTAAGCGTCTGCCTTCGGCTCAGGTCATGATCCCAGGGTCCTGGGATCGAGTCCCGCATCGGGCTCCCT